TGCAGGTTTACTGACTCCTGAGTTGATGTTGTTAGCTGCTGTTGTTGCTGCGTTGATGGTGCCTGTTGAATCTGCATTGGCAGAGCTTGCTGTGTTTGATGATCCTGCTGTCTCTCGTCCACATAGTCTGGTAGGATTAAACGCTGGATTGTTGGGGGTTGGCCTTGGATATCTGCTACTACCTCTTCACGGGTGATTTCTCCGCTTCTATACATTCTTCTTAACGCATTTATTCTTGATTCCCCGAATCTTCTAGGAGGCGGCCGATTTGATTGCTGGAGCTGTTGCCTTGCCTGGATTTCGGCCAATCTCTCATTTTCTCGCTTCTCTTCTTCTTGAAGCCGGAGGAGTGTTGGGAGCTGCTCTCTAAATTGCATCCTTTGTTGTGCCTGTTGTGCTTGGTGAGCGGTGTGCTGTGTGTGCGGTGGCTGTCCTTGGCGCTGTTGCGGTCCATGTAGATTCTGAAGCGGTCGTATGTGTTGTTGTAATTGCTGCGAGTAGCGGGGCCTCAGTAGGCGCTGTGGCTCAAATGGGTGCTCTAGCAGATTTCGTGCCTCAGGGTTTGCATGTCTGGCCAAAGAGTTTGCAAAGCGGTCACTTGTCAGGTGAAAGACTTCGTCAACAGTTTTAAAGCAATATGTACTCCGTATTGTTGCGTTTCTGGTGTACCAGGATGCATTAACTGATTTTCTTATTATTTTATTTTGCATTCGTTGAATTCGTTGTAACTGTGTGTCTGATGTGAGCGCCCCCCAAACAGGAAGACCGTATTGCCAAATTGGCATGATGAGCTGCTTGATGAGTACCGCTTTGCAGTCCTTTGCCAGTCTGCTGTTGGGACCGAGAAGCCACATCAGTTTGGATGCTCTTGCTCTCAGCTTGATACTTAGGTGAGTGACATGTGGTTTGAAGGTGAGTTTCCGGTCCAGTATGATTCCCAGGTATGTCTGTGAGATTTTGCTTGGTATCATTTGCCCATTTAGTAGTGGTGACCGTTCTCTATCTGTTTGATCTACATTTCTCAGTGTGTAGAGCACATGGCC